AAAAGATTGTATATCGATGATGAAATGCTGTTGATTAATGACAATGACGATAACCGGATGATGATGATGATGATCCACAATCAATCAATCAATCAATAACCAAAAATAATGACGAAATGGAAATTTCTTCTTTTTTTTCAAAATGTTAATGGGTTCAACCATTGATGGATCGCGCGCGCACATTGCCATCAGAAAAAAATGACCACTAAAATTTTGTCGTCACTTTTCGTGCATACACGATATAATCATTCAACTTTGATATTTAAAATCGAATGATTCTTTTTTGCCATTCATTTTCATATATAGTGAAAGAGAAAGTTTAATTTTTTCGTTTTGTTTTGGTTTTTGGTTGCCGTTATTTTTGTTGTTTGTTTTTTTTCTGTCATTATATAATCATCGTTGAATGAATGAATGAATGAATGATTATCATTCTTCACCCCCCATACTTTCCCCCTTTTTCCTCGCAATGATAATATCGTCCAGTTTTCGTTTCTGGTGAAGTTTTTTTTCTCTCATTGTGTTTGTGTGTGTATTTCCTTTCTTCAAAACGTAATTCGAATGGAATTCATATTTTCTGTTTTTCGAATGTTTGAGTCAAGTCAAATTGTTCAGTGTTCCAGCACAAAAAAACATTGTTCCAAAACATTGTGTCTCATTTGTTGTTCCAGTCTCTGTATAGCAAAATTGCTATATAAAAATGAATGAATGTTTCATGTAACTAAACCACCACTATGTTTCATTGATCCAACAATGTATTACTCATTCTTTCATCGTCTTAAAATGAAATGATAAGTGTGAAAACAGAGAGAGAGAGTGAGGAAAAAAAATCCCAATCGTATTTCATTCAAGAAAATATATCAATCAATCGATAAACAAAAACATTCGAACGAAAACAAAAAAAAAAAGGAAAAAATAATCCTTGAGCAACGATGTAACTTTTTTTTTTTTTTCAAACCAAAAATAGAATATTTAAATGTGTCACTATTTTCTCAATTCTACAATGTTTTTCATCACCCAATCAACCAACCAGCTCAACACTGTTCTTAGTTTTGATTTGATTGATTGATTTGATCGAATGAAAAAATCACTGCTGTCATCATCATTATCATCAACCGAAGAAGAAGAAGAAG